GCGTAGAGACACGCTCTATAACGCCGGGCGTGTCGATGCAGTGCGACTTGAACTCCTTCATGATGTCAAGGAAGTTGTTGTAGATCTGCGGCTGGTCCGCATACTGATATTTGACCTGGTCCAGATAACTGAGAGCATCTTCAACTTTCAAACGAGGCGTAGCGCTGCCGGATTGTCCCTGCGGTGGCGTGCTTGCGCCTGCGGCCACGCTGTTGGCCGACACGGACGATGGTGGCGTTAGTGCGGTGACCAGTGACGCCTGCTGAACTGTTTGTTGCTGTTGAGCCATCGTGGCCAGATTTCCAACGGCACTGGCCACCGTCTGGGTGCCACTGATTGTGCGTTGACGGATTGGGCCCGTTTGTGAGCTGCTGGAGACGGTCTGTGCGTTGGCAGGATTCGTGCCTCCTGCTCCAGCTCCAGTTACATGGATCTGTACTGTATTGGCGCCATCCCCAGTGCTGGCCTTAAGAGTTCCACCCGCCTGAATGGAGGCCACGCTATACGCTGTTGGAGAACAAAAAAACGCACATATGAGTATCAAAAATTTCATCAGAGTGTGAAAATCATAATACTTACAGGTGGTATACTGCAATGTTTGGGTGCCTGTGCTGCCCGTGGAGACGACAACGCCACCGGCACCACCAGCTCCTCCTACTGTCACCTGGCCACCAGCTACCACTGGTCCGCCTCCTGCTCCAGTGCTGCTGCTGCTGTCCACAATCGAACTTGTGGTCTTCAGGTTGGTGGCCGTCGGTGTGGTGGACGGCAAATAGGCAATGGTCTGGGCTCCTCCATGCTGCGGCGTGAGGATGCGATGGTGAATGGAGCCAATGCCACTGATTGTGGCGCTGTGAGCGCCGGGCAACACCGTTCCTATGGTCACGCCCGCTGTATTAACACCGACATTAGTTGTGTTGCCGCCACTGCCGGACGGTGGACCTCCTCCGGTCACGCCAACGACTCCCACACCGACACCAACTCCAACACCGACTCCAACTCCTCCGGGAACCGGTGGACCGGGTCGTGTGCCGAACTGCACCTCGTCGACACGGGTGCGTTTCATCATCTTATCGTGTTGCTTAGTGCTCGGAGCTTCTTGTGCTGCTCCTGTTCCTGCCTTAACCTGGGTGAACCCTCTGCGTGGGTGGTGGCTCCCTGCTGGCCAAGTGCAAGGATAGTAGGATGCTCTATGAGCGTATGTAGTATGCAACGAACGGTCGGGGTCGCAACTCTTGGTCTTGGACTGCTCGTGGCTGCGACATATGTTGTCTATGCATTTGGTCGCCCCGCCAGCGGCAAATACACTTGATTTTCGAATGTAGAGAGATGGGATGGATTCACTCCCTTCCAACTATCTCTTGCTGCTTTGCTTCTAGCTCTCCTCTGGCACGTGTAGTTCTTTGTGTCTTTTGATTCTCCTTTGGTTGTTATTACTGCAAGTAGAGAGGATTCATGAGTTGGTAACTAGTTTAGTAGATTTTCTCAAAAGAAAAAAGAAAAACTAGTTTGCAAATACCGCACACAGCTGATTGATCAATACCGTCTATATATCTGGTTATACGTATCTAAAATAAAACGATTGCACACATTCCAACGGAAAGGTAAAGCAAACACAGCCCCAATGGAATTCTTCTGCCGTATCACAAAAAAAAAAAACTACCGAGTGGAAATGGGATGTTTTTGTATTGGAAGTGCGGTGGAGAGAAAGGTGAAGAATAGGAATGGAATGGTGGAGCAATAACAACCCGACAGTGGAAGGAGATCGAAGTGGAAGTTGGTGGTGGAGAGAGGAAGTTAAAGAATATCCATGGAGAACGGAAGTTAAGGAGAGTTTCGTGTGTACGTGCAACCGGAATAGGGCGCGCGCTTTTGTTATTGCTTTTCAGCGGTACAGTAAATACTAACTAAGCGAGCTTTCTGTATACACCTTCAAATGAGGATTGGTGCGTGTGTATGCGAGATGTGGATGTGGAAGAAGGTGCCAAATGCCCCATGCACGACATCGGCTTGCATAGAATTCACAGTACACATACATACACACATTTGGCTGGCAGAACCAACATATTTATATATATACAGCGATACCGTCAAGGGGGTTAAGCGGGGGGAGTATGCCTGGTACATATTCTGTATCTACAACTTACAAGAAGAAGAGACAGCCGCAGCAGCAGCAAACGCAACAATGCAAAGGTGGTGGTGCCGCTGCTGCTTCTACAAAGTGGTAATGGTGGTGGTGGTGGTGGTGCAGCCACAGAGAGACAGACCAAAGAGCGGGCAAGAGAGAGAGAGCGCCGCATTTGTTGTTGAGGCGCAGTTGATATAGCAGATTTTTTTAAGGTATTTCACCCGTTTGGGGCCAGCAACAACTCGACACACTCACACAGCCATGTAAACTCGTATTTGGCGGGCATTCGAGAGAGAGAAGTTTGCAGAGAGCTCAAGAGTGCGCAGGCCAGGAGAGTGTATGTAAATACAAGTTGAATGGAAACCGCCTCGAGGATCAATGCTTCTCCAAATCATGAGGAAACCAGCCAACTCGGCCCACAGCTGCCCCCCTTAAGCATTTGTAAACAAATATTGGACCACACAACCAGTACAGCCGCACAAAAGCTTTAACGCGAAGCTTCACTCTCTCGCGGTTCCTTTCTCTCTATTTCTCCCACCACCAACACTATATAATCCTTGTGAAGAGAAGGAAGGTAAAATAAGTTGTTGGTAGGCTTTTGCTGCTATTCACTACTATTCACTCCCGCTCTCGCAACTGCCTTTCTTGTTATTGTATTTTTTGGATCCGCCATCGTCACAGTTGCTAGTGCATACCAAACACAGTGGAGCATGTTTGTGAGAGAGACTCCAACAACACACGAAATTGGGGCGTTGTGTGCGTGTGTGTGTGTGTGCTTTGGGGAGACATGTGGGCAAATTTTCCCTCCATTTTTTTTTTTATTCAGCGCGCTCTATTACGTGCACACGTATAATGTTATCTTATCTGTTTTGTTATGTGTATACACAGCACAGCACAATACACAGAGAATACGCAGCACAAAAGGTAGACAGCGGAAAAATATGCAAAAATGGTTAAAGCACTATTTTCTTCTTTTTTGCACTTCTGCGTACATACATACACATATATTTTAATCAGAGGCGGCGACTGCATCGAATCATCATTCGGTGTTTCCCTGAATGCGCGAATTAATATTTGTGTAGTTTTTGTATTACTTTCTTACACTCACACAAGAAACACGGGGCACACACACTGGCGCAGTCTGGCACTGCGCTATTAATAAATTTTGCAAATAAAACATATGGATGTGTATAGAGAAATATGTACAAAATAGCTAAGGCACACATATATATATATAATATATATATACTATTCAGATTCAGGCTGTGGAAGAAGAAACGTTTTGTGTAAAATAAAAACGGAATGAAAAAGGCGAAGCAAGAACAACAAACGGATGGCAAGAGCAAGAAGGAGATGAAGACGAAGAGGGAAACTGAGGAAGAGCAAGAAATGATGCTCTCATTGTGCCGTGTGGAGCTGTGGAGCTCTGGGCTATATTATTCAGTGCTGGGAGCCATTTAAATGCACACACACACACTCTGGCACGGCACGGCACTCAACTCAACTCTCGCCAGTACATGCGAATGGCGCATCAAAGCAAAAGTCGAGATAAGCGCACGAACTCAGCAAAGAACGAATCAACGAACGAAAATAAAACGACACTACGTTGAAAAAATACAGTCAGTTCATAAGCAAGCCAAAAGCAATGGTTCAAAACGTTCGACTGTGTGTGAGAGTGGCTCTCCTCTCCACCCTCGTCTGAGTGTGTGTAAGTGCGAGCGAGCAGCAGCAGCAACACAAACAACAACCACGTCGACGACGGAGACGACTTTTTGTCTGTGCGCCTTCTATATGTATTCGCTGGCTCTGTGCGAGCGTGTGTGTATGTATATAAACCAATTGAAATTGACCTAACCTAAAAATGTTGTATTTTTCACAAGTTTCAGTAGCACGAATTCTGTTTGATTTTCCTTACAGCCATCAAGTGCACTTGAAGGATGTTTCCCTGCATCATCTAACACCACGCCCCCACCACTCCCGCCCGAGACACTTACATCAGCAATAAGCAATAAGCAGTAGAGCTTCGTCGGTTGATATTTGGGCTGTGTGTATATTCGAAATGTGTATGTATGTACCGTATGTACATTTACTACAAACTGCCGTTCGTTTCGTTTCGGCTGGGCTTGTGTTATTGGAAACTTTCACGTTTTACGCAGTATTTAGCACTTGCAACTATTTTTCCCACTCACTTCCAACCGAAATTTTCACCTTTTTTCTCTGCCTCTGACTTTGGCTGTTGGCTCGAAAATCTATTAGTTTTTTCAGGTTTCAGCTCAGTTTTTATTAATTTCGAATCACCACTGTGCACTATTTGTTTTCAGACCACTTTGCGCGTTTTAAGACATTTTTCCTCAGTAGATTTCTACTGCTATTCACAAAATATTGGCGAGAAAACGTTTTCGTACATCTTAACGCCGCCGCAAACATTTTCGATTAACGGTGAGCTGACGACGGCCAGTCGGTCGGAGTCAGCAGCGGCGTTGCCCGTTTGGCCTCGCTAGATCTAGCTATTTTGACACTTTTGTGTGTTGTGATATGCTACTAAATAGAAATCAGATATTTGGTTTATTGCACACCCTTGGAACTTGAAGAATTATTCCGTTTGTTAGTTTAATTTCCTCAAATCTTAAAAGTATTTAGTGGTTTTAAATTTTTGTTTAGCTATTTTTGTCCTTTTTGTTTCGTCAATTCAGCCCCTAGGATTTTGGCAACACTGACCAGGAGAGCGAAAGAGAGCGGAGCAGAGCGCGTGAGAGAGACCTTGCCTCCATACATTGTACTCTGCCGTTTGAGTGTGGTGGTGCCGAAGAGCGTGCGAGAGAGACGAGCGGGAGAGAGAGGAGTGCGCGCGCACAGTGTTGCTTTGGAATTCATTTTCTGTCGCTCGGTTGCTGCCTCACACGGCTCGCAGCTAAAACAGGGTGGCAACTCAGCGGCGCAACAACCAAAGGTCTCGGACTCGCACATTGAAAACGTTGCAGTTGCCGTTGCGGCAATAAAAATAGTACATAATACCCATATACTTCCTGCGTCTGCTACTTTTCCCGGAAAGTGTTCCTCGGCCATTTCCCCCATGCCAATCAACTAAAAATGGCGCCTAGAATTTGGATAAGAAACGAATGTGTTCAGAGCGGCGCGACGGGAAGCTTACGTAAGTGCAAAAAGCACCAACACGGCAGTGCGAGAGCGAAAGAGCCGGCACTAGGGCTGCGAAAACAAGTCGTCGTCGGCGAGGAAACAGGGTGCCCCGCACTAGCACAGCATAGCGCCACACAGCGCGATCCCCCAAGAAGAGTGCTGGCCCCCTGTATGCGCCACGAGAGAGCGGACGGCACTCACACAGACACACCTATGTATACAGGAGGAAGCGACGTCGGCAGCGCTGTCCGGCACTATTGCAGTACATAATGAAATCGACAAAACCGAAAATCAGAAACCAAACGGACCACTAGCGGGCTACAACTCTGCCACGGCTACACTTTGCCGCAGCGCGCTCACACAGACGCGGCACACTCATGCACTCCTACATCCAGCGCGCTCACGCACACACACAGCGACGCGTGCGTGTGAAGAGAGGCAGAGTCGTCGGCGGCGACGGTGGCAGGAAAGAAAACCCGAAAAAAGGCCAGGCAAAGTGCATCTCACCATGACAATGGCGGAAGAGCTGCGGCACCATACCACTCGTCGTCCGTAAAAAACACATGTTCGCATCTGAATCCGAATTCGGCAGCCGCCTCCTTCCCCGCAGGCGAAAAAAATCTGTATACGCGAAAAGTTTAGCTGCTAAAAATCGGCGTGGAGAGTGTGGATGGGGAATTGATGGCATGGAAACCTTGCAGTTATTGATTCGCCTCGCTCATTGCGCAATGAAATGCAGCGGGGCGGGAATAGAAAGAGAGAAAGAAAGCGTTAGAGAGCATAGAGAGCGCTGGCACTCTCTCCGAAAGGCACCTGCAGCGGCGGTGGCGTTAGGAAATGCAAATCGTAAGTGCCCAGCCAAACGAGGAGCTGCTGCTGCTTCCAGCCCCGAAAGTTCAAAGTTCACATGCAACGCGACGCGGTGCAGCGCATGTCCACCGAGTCCCTGGACTGCAACCAGCAGCTCGGACTTCCAGACGCCACAGGAAGGTTTGTTTGGCTTTCCATTTGGGTATTATTGATGTTTTCCTTTTTTTACTGGTGTTTCGACAATGCCAGGTGGTTTCTCGCATGTTCTAATTATCCCTGTGCTAATTTCAGATGACGCTGCCCTCCCTTGGATTGGAATGTATTAAATTGCGGGGAGGAAATGGATTCCATTCTTGGAAGTAACAAACACAACAATACAGACAGCTGAACGAAGCAAAATATTATTAACGCTGATCGAGGGAAATTGGGTATTTTGCGAATGGGATGTGTTTAGTGCTCCCGGCAAAAAAAAAAAAAAACACTTTATGTAATTGCCAATTAGTTTGGCGTTTCGTACGTGGTCAGCGAATTATCAGATACATATTTCTGTTTCCCACCTTTGTCACCTGATTTTTAAGTTATTTCGCACAGAGACACGTGATAAATGCAAAATTCCAAAGAATTTAGTGAAAAGAACGAAAATTTGTTATATTATCGGAAAGGAGAGATTGTATTTGCATTCTAAGTGTTTGAAATGGAACCAAAATATTACGTTTAAAGTATTTATATATATGTCATTGGAAATATTAGAGAAGCTGTACTACTAGTGAGTGACAGGAATAGAGCTTGGTTGTATTTAAATCTATTATATGCAAATTAACACCAACAATCCATTTTGATCAGCATTAATACTGTAAAATCATTTCAAACTCCCATGGGGATAATTACCAACAAATACCGAGTTATTTAGAATTTTTGCTAGACATACAAATAAAATTGTGCAAATCCCATTCAACCAAGTGCAATAACTTTGAAACTTCACCGCATTATGACCATGTCATGCGCCAGTTAACTCTGGCCTGTTATTGTGGCTAATATCAAGTTCAAGACTCGTTTGTTTTGGCCTCTGTAAGGCAAAAGACAATTGCAAATTCGGTTTGGCGACGCGGCAAGTGTTGTGGTGTTTCCCGTGGAGAAAGATCGAGAGAAGTGGAGAGCGGATACCGTGAAATGTGCCTTACTGTCCGTGTGTGTGTGTTTGGGGAGAGTTTTCAGATTTTTAGCTTCGAGTTTGAGAGAAGTAACTTGTTTTTCAAGTTTTCAAACGACCAGAAAAGCACGCAATCCACTCCACAAGCTCTCAAACCAGACTCGAAAAAAGGCCAGCCAACAAACTTGATGCGCTCCATAAAGAAAATTTTTGGGGGAAAACGAGAAAAGCACAAAAGACTTGCTTGTTTCTATGTGTGTGTGTATCTCAATTGGACCTCACAGAAGCAGTGAGCCCGATTTCAACGAATTATTTAATTAGAATCAACACAATGTAACAACAACAACAACAAAATGTAGCAAATTGAAGGCTACACTGCTATCTCGCTCACCTTGTACACAAAGCGCTCAAACACACACACACATGGGTCAGGTAGCTCTGCCAACTTGCTTTTTATTATTCTTATTTACAAAATGAAAAACGTTAGTAAATGACTTCCTTCCTTTCTATCCAATTCTTGAGTTATTTTATTAATTATTTATTTTTGGGTACTTGATTTCAGCGAGTTGGCAGGACCCGTGACGAAGGAACGCAACAATAACAAAAGGTGAGCGCGGCAAACACTGAGACTCTCACACATACAGCTGCGTGTTGTGATTGCATTGCTGTGTGAGTGCCTCTGCGTCATTGTTGTTGCTGTTCGCAATACCTCTTCCTTTCTTATTTTTATTTATTCTCCGTGTTTCTTTACTTTTGTCTTGTATCAATTCGAAGCAAAGGCAATTAAAAAGTCCACACACACACATGAGCCAGCAGATGGCGGAACTTAAATTTTTGTTGTACACTTTTTATACATAATATAGCAGAAAATGCGATAAGAAAGTTTTCCACGCATTAGCGGACAATAAATAAGACTGTAATTGTAATAAGTGCTGTTGGTTATCATTGATAAAAGCCACTTTCTAACCTCAAAGGACCCCGGAAAATTTTAAATATTATGCAGACCAGTTAGAGTGCCGCGAAACGGACCAACCGCAACGAATTTATACTCTTGAAGTGATTAATGCCACTGGAAAGTTTGCTTTGCCGCCCAGCGTAATCAGGGACAGTTGAGGTTATGCACGAATATATATGTACATTCTTGGCACCCACTCACTCACACACAAGCAGACAAGGGCGCGCACTTTCTTGTTGTTGGAGTTCCATATTTGTTCTACGTACCTGGTGAAGTATCTGGAGCTGTTTCTCGTCGGGTTTCAGCACGTTTTTGGGCTTTTCACTTCTGCAAACTGGCAGATTTCTTTAAAATTTCTCAATTATTACATTTAGCTGCTAATGGAGCAATGGGGTAGAAGGGAGGGAGAGAGAGAGGATAAGCGCGTGAGCTGCTGCTTCTTCCACTTCTTACATTTGCAACAAACACATGCAAACACTCGGCACACACACCACGCGCGCACACATGCACTCGAAATCGATTTTATGCTGCGATTGTGATGCCTCCAACGCCCACAACTCGTCTCCTATATGCCCCTTTTCGTTAATTTTCGCAGGCACTGCACGTAAGTTTACACTTGTGCCTAGTTTATTCATTTAAAAACTCTGCTGCTGTACACGCACATATAAACGATTTCGCGGCTGCTTATGTACATACGTAAGTAGGTATGAACGTGTATGTTATGTACTAGACCCCGCCAGGAATTTACATTGCTCGCAGAGAGGTGGATTAACTAGCGCGATGCCTCAACACTGATTTATGTTGACTCTGGTGTTTAAATTTAATTAGTCGCACAGCCGTGGAAAATGACCAGCAAAGTTACAATAACAACGACCGAAAAGTCTGGCAGGCTGGTTTGAGGCTCAAAAGTCTGGTAGTGCGGTAGCTCACGCACGTGGCATTGCCAGAGTTCAGAATCTTCCGGCAGCCATGCCAGACTTTCGATGTAAATACCCAAAATACTGTCACACTCTCTGCATTTTTTTCAGTATCAAAATCGATTTTTGCACTTTTCTTAGAGATAAGTAGCCGAATAAGCTAGGGAAGCGAACTGATAAATCGATATATCGCAACATCGATGTTTGTGCAAATATCGATATAAATGTATCATTTTTTGGAATAATATCGATATATTGGCTACAAACTACAAAAGCTTTCCAAATACGCCAAATCTAGCTATAGCAAAGCTAAGCTGGCAACACAATTGTTTTGATAGCCCAAGTGAACCTGACGCGTCGGGAAATCGCGTGTAAATATAGGCAGACCAGCAAAAATCGCGGGGCGGAATACTGAATACTGCTAACAAGTGTGTGGGGGCCGATCTGTTGATTTCGCATCGATTTTAAATAGTTGCCGCTGCCGAGGCGAAACATAAACACAACACTTTGTTGTTTACATTTGTGCATTTAAAGTTTCCCGCAAAAGATAACGCATAAAAAGTGGTTACTTGTGGTTTCCAGTTGTGCCAATACGAAAGTTTGCCAAGTTGCAGCCATCCACAATAATATTTGAAAAGTTTCCAACTCACTGAATGTCCGAGAATAAAGGCATCATGCTGGCAAAGTCTGTTCAAAAACACGCTGGACGTGCCAAGGAGAAGGTAAGTTTGCAGCTCCAGAGCTTCCAAATCCAAAGTGCAGCATGCAACGCCCACGCAAATGTGTAGAAGGTCATAAAACCCACCACCACCACCAATCAAGGCACCCACCCTCGGCCCTCCCCCACTTTCCACTGCCTGCTTGTAATCTCCGTTTGAGTAACGGCTTTCCAGCTGAAACGGTGTCCCTGTCCCAGTTTCTCCGCAGCAGCTGGGTCACAGTTAGCACTTGCACATCTTCCCAAGACTTCCAGTTCTCAGATCTCCAGTGATGCGATTTTCAAGCTTTATTAAATTCCAAAACACCTGTCACAGAAATACTTACAAAATCTAATCACTGATAAGCTCGGTGGGACTGTGGCATTTATATTTGGTGTGTTTCATTATAGGCTATACATTTATTTATAACAAAAGCTCAAAACAGCATCAAATTCATGAAACTTGCCGTTGAATCAATTTATTTATATAAAAACTAAAAAAAATGTTATTTAGTTTTGAAATTATAAAGTGTAAAAATGACATCCCAAAGGTATTTACTTTACACGAATCTAAAGCAATGCCGGCAAGTCATCTCAAAATTAGTAAGTGAAGTCTTAAATTCGTGTTAAAAAGATTACTTTCGGTTAATTAGAATTGTATTTTCCCTAGTTTATCAATTTGTAATACAATAACAATAGGGAAAGGCACAAATTGTAGTTATAAATCAAATGAGAAGCAACGCCTCGAAAGTAAGCATTCGAGTTCAGTTAATTACATGAAATTAAGCTATAACTTTTTATGCAGCTGCCATAAATAAGCATGAGAAATGGGTTTCATAAATAGAAGTTTCAGTTGATAAATAGTACCCACCCCCCACAAAGATTTCTCACAAGAATAAATCAGTGTGAAGAGATAATGTTGGACATTCTCCTGGACATGACACCTGTCTTGATGTGATTTTCATCTTTCCATTCATGAGATGCGCTCGGTTTGGATGGATTTTGAATGTTTCATCTTTCCGCCGATGCGTACAAGTGAAAGTTGGACGAATGTTGGTAATATTATTATTGTTTTTCCTGCGTTCGATGGCGGCGAAATGTCAATAAAGCAGCGGCCCAAACAACGTGTAAAAGCGCGGCTGGTTGACCCAAAACGGGTTTAAGATGCCTGATGCCTGATGCCTTCACTTTACCTCCACTGGCACTGGAACTGGCGCATTCCAAGATCTCTCTCTCTCTCCGTCCTCGCCTCCATCATCTGATTCCAACTCCAAATCCAACTCCAGAGTGGTTCGGCGGCTGAAAAATGCTGTAATCTCAGCCAGAGCTGTACAGAAAATGCTGCTCTATTGATTTCTATGCCCCGACTTTGTCTCTATGATATAGACTCTATATATATGTGTGAGTTGGTTGGCATTTGGTGCTGATTTCTAAAGTTCGTTGGTATTTTGAGGTCTTCTTTTTGGGATGTGCTTGTGTGGTCATTAAACCTGGAACTAAAAATTCCACAACAAAATGTCACTTTTGAATACGTTCCCTGGGAGCAGCCAGTTTTATTTTATTGTTAAGAATTACCTTAGTTAAAAATAATACTTCATATGGGTCAAAATTAGTTGGTTCTTTAAGGTAATAACGAACAAATCAGCAGAAAGTATGATAACTGCAGCTAATATTAATTTCTAGTCTATTTTTATAATTTCAAAATATTTGAACTTTATAAATAAATGTTTCAATTGAATTCAGGAACTATTTCACAGGTTTTTAAGTCTATTTTAAACCCTTATTCCTTGTTCTGGGAGAATGCTGAGACCCTGTTAACTGCATCTCTCACTCTCTGAACTAGTTTATTTCATAATTCTCGGCGAGAAAATGAAATTTATTTTTAACAATTTTCGTTCTTTGGGGCGGAATTCACATGGGCCTCTGTGTATTATTTCGCATGGCGGCGCGTGTGCTCAATTTTTGTTTTTTGTTTTTTCTTTATTGAAAATTTCGGTGTCTGTGTGATTTTTCCCCGAGATGCGAGAGAAAACTTGTCAGAGTCAGAGGCTGCCTAGATACATTTTTATTTGAGTTTTCCCTCCCAGCTAAAGTCGCAGCTAGTCAGGCGCGTGAAAATGTCGCCAGTCCGGCGATGCTGCTGCTGTGGCTTTTCCTGCCTGCCAGTCAATCTTTAAATAGATGCGCTCTTCTCTGGGACTGTTTTTTGTGTCTTATAACTCTACGAATACTTGGGCTTTTAGTTGTTCTAAGTTTCTATTTTGTTGTTATTTTATTTTGGCGAGGGAAAAGCACACACAGGCGAAAATTCGCCCGCGCCGCTTTTCTTGATTTTCTCACTTTTTCTTTGGTTTTCCTCGCTCCCTGGCTTTATTTCGGCTATTTTTATGCCGCACCGCACAACAGCTGCCAAAATGTGCTTTCCCCTCCCGGATCCATACCGTCTCTGGGGTCCCCCAAAGATTTTCCGACTCGGTGCATTAGCGCCAATTGACATTTTATTGGCAGTATTTTCGATCCAAACTTGCCTGTTGCATATTGAACTTCTTGCTTGTTGCATGCCGATGAAATGTCAACTGTTCTTTTGTTGTCTCGAAGCAGCTTTATTTATAAAAACAAATCGTTGCACTCTCTAATTCTAATTGTAATTCAAATTCAATGCGAAATTCGTTGTTAATTGAAATTAGTTGAACTCTTGGCTGTTAAATATAGAAATTTTGGGCCTTTTGAATGGCATTTATAGAGTTGACATTAACTTAAAGGAATTGCATTTTTGATCAAACATATTTTTAACCTTAAGTCCTCCAAATTCCAAATTTCTCATATTATTTGTAAAATTTCCAGAAGGGTTTGAAATATATAATTTGATACCCTTAATTTTTATGCTGATCCCATCAATACCTAATCAATTTTCTTGTGTAAACAAGTTCTGAAGAAAACCAAACTGAAATTCGAAGCAGAAAAAATATAAAAGCTTGACAAAAGTACGTGGAAACATTTAGCGGCTGACTTCAAGCGGCAGAAAAGACAATAATTATGATCATGTTTATGTATCTAAACTTCTGACAATGCAGTTTGCACCAAGAGAGTTTTATTATAATCATATTTCAGATACATATCCATATCAAGTGTTGCTGTCTGGGGTTACGCCCCCTCTTTATACAAAAGGGGGGCGTTTTGAAAAAGTGCTGATCACAGATAGCTCTTATTCAAGCTCTCTTTTCAGATACAGATATTATAAAGGCGACATGATGTGATTGTATAAAGTTATACACTCGGCTTATTAAAAAAAAAGAGTGGACAATTATTGAAATTGCCAACAATCGGTGTTCGTAAGTGTGAAGGAAGGAGAGCAGATACATTTTTATATATAAGTATCTTTTGTGTCGCTTTGATTGCATAACAATTGGAATTACTTCACAGTAGAGCGGCCTGCCTCTAATTACTGCACAATTGTGCAACAAAAAATCAGTGAGGAAAGCACAATTGGGGGTGAAGTTCAAGAGTTGGTCGCATAAATTCTTTCCTCCACCAACTACAGGGGATGGCCCACCCCCTCTATTCTAGTTCTATTTAAATCTTGCAGGTTGCTATTTAACCCAGAAAGCAAACACAACACACAAACTTATACACACAGGGAGAAGAAACGAAAACAAACTTTTTGGAAAAATGTGTGGCGGTGCGGGCAAGGTCAATTACTGATGGATACACTCGAGTCCAAGCGAACGCATGCCTGCGATCGTCCACGGGTCGTATAAGCGATTTCTTATTGCCTCTCCACTCACTCAGCACGCACTTTCGTCGATTTGTTAATCAGAAATCGAACTGGGAGACTTTATAGACTCTAAATGGGCTTCTCAATGGGCTCACCTTGGCCACTCGAGCAAGCCAGCCAAGCAGCCAAGTTCATCGAGTTCTTACTTACAACTCAACAACCTTATTATTAATTGTTTAAAAAATTCTCTACACTCGCAAGAGTATAGAGTATATATTGTGTGGGAGGTTTTTTGTTAAAGTTTCAGCTTCGTTCAGACATTGCATTGTTTATCTAAGTGTGGAATTGTTTATGGCAGATATTCTCTAAAAGATAAGTTAGTGATGGAGAATGATAATAGCTTAGGAGAATGTTGAAGCATTTACAAATTAGTTAACCTTTGCAAGTATATGTAGTACTCAGTGTCTAGTACATAGTTTTGAGAAACTTGAAGAGATACAGTTAGTATCTAAAAGATAAACTATATAAATATGTTATCTTTCTGCTTCCGTTTCTTTAAATGTAAAATATACTCTAAGCTAATATTGCCAAATGTTGATATTATCTTTGTTTTATAAGCTTGGTAATTTATATTATATTTCTTGGGAATTCAATGAGTAACTCTTTTGAAAATTTCTAGAACAGGTATTTAAAGTTTAGGTTATCTTATGTCAGTTTATATCCCTGGTATTTCTTACAGTCAATAATTTCCTTTTAAAAGTCATTTCAATAGAACTATATAATGCTGATAAAAATATTTCTGATAAATAATATTAGACTCAAGTTTTGGTAGAATTGTTGCTTGTGCTATTTACCTTCAAAATCTTAGCTTAAACCTTAGAATATATATTACATTTGATATTCTTACAATGTAAGCTGATGGCTTCCCCCTCTTATTCCTGTATTATTCATAACAATACTCAAGTGACAAACACTTGACAGCTCGTGCTTTTATTTTCATTATTTTTTTAAATTTTATTATTATTATGACCCCCACTAACCTCCATCGTTGTCTGCTCCAAATTCTGGGGACACAAGTTGCTGGCCAAGTTTGGCTGCCGGATCTACTTATGCACATAATGCATGAGCTTCGTGTTGGAGAGACTTTGTTAGAGGGAAACAAGTATCAGATTTAAGGCAGAGGGGCACCTGCCTGCCTGGCTTAGAACAAAGGCTGCGCGGATCCAGACTCAGATCGGAAATCAGATCCCAGCGCAGAGATATAGAGCAGGGAGCACGCGATGTGCTAATGCCTGTTTCTACTCTCTGTT